ATATATATATATATAACTTTTTAAAATTACTTTTGCTAGTAACAATATGTCTGATAGTGAATTTATTTCTGCTAAACACAAGGGTAAAGCTAAAGAAACAATATTAAAAAAACCTTGAAAAATATTAAGCAACAAGCAAAAAAAAGAATTATGTCAATTAGCACAAAATAATTCAAATTTTACACAGCAAGAATTAGCAGGTAAATTTGAAATTGGCCAGTCAACAGTAGCAGATATTCTTGCAAAGTCATCTTATTGGCTTAGTTTGGATGACAAAAGTACAGCTGCACAACAAAAACGAAACAGATTATCTGATCATCCACAATTAGAAGAAATTCTTGCACATTGGTTTGATCTTGCATTAGAAAATCATATTACAATTACAGGTTTAATCTTGCAAGAAAAAGCAAAACAAATTGCAAATGCTTTAGATATTCAAAATTTTGCTGTTTCTGATGGTTGGTTGCAAGGCTTTAAAAAATGATACCATATTGTTTGTACTACACAAAGTGGTGAGGCTGCTAGTGCCCCAGTTGAAAAATTGCCAAAGTTTCATTTATCTTTACAAAATAATATAGCAAATTATGATCTTGTAGATGTTTATAATTGCGATGAGACAGCACTTTATTGGCTCTTAGAACCTTCAAAATCACTTACTCATGGTCATATTGCGGGTGTTAAAAAGCCAAAAAATCGGGTTACAATAATGTTAACATGCAATGCAGTTGGTTATAAATTGCCTCCAGTCTTTATTCATAAATTTGAAAATCTGCATGCGATAAAAGGAATAAAAAAATCAACTTTACTTATCAAATATTATTGGAACAAAAAGGCCTGGATGCAGATTTCGATTTTTCAAAACTGGTTATCACAATTAGATAGTCAAATGCATCTTGCTCATCGAAAAATTCTTTTACTTGTAGATAATTGTTCAGCACATTCTATTGAAGGTTCGAATTTGTCTAATATTAATGTAGTTTTTCTTCCAAAAAATACTATGGCATGGTTACAACCATGCGATGCTAGAATCATCTACTTATTTAAGGTTAGTATTAAATTTTTTTTTAAATTTTAAATAATTGTTAACAACAATAACATTTATACAATTTAGTGTCACTATCGCAAGCTATTATTACAAAACCGAATTGCTGCATTTGATGAAGCAAATCTAACCAATAAACCCCCAGATCCTTTTACAATTTATGATGCAATTCAGTTTGTTGCACAGGCATGGAATAAGGTTTCTGAAGATACAATTATTCATTCATGACAAAAAACTAGTATTCTTCCTTTTGCAGAAATTGATGAATGTTTGGATACAGAAGTTTCAGCTGAAATAAATAATAACAATGAGGAAACAGAATTAGAAAATCTCATTACACAATTTCAGAATTTAAAAAATCCTGAAAACTCTGAGCATTTAAATATTTCTATACATAAGTTTATCGAAATTGATAATAAATATGCAACAGGTGAAATGCCTACAATTAACAAGCTTATAGAAAAAATGCAAGAAAGTGAAACCGAAGAAGAAGAACTAGAGAAGCAAAAACCTGTTACACCAACTCAAGCTGTTACTGGAATAGATTCAGTATTGGGTTATATTGAACAGCTTGAATCGAATTTTCAAATTGATATTAAAGTTTTTGCTGAACTTAAACGGATGCGAAAAGAGCTTGCTTATTTAACAAAAAAAAATTCAAAGCAAACAAAATTGGATTTGTTTTTTATTAAAGAATAAATAAATCAGAAATAGTAAGTATAAACAATTTAGAAGCAGTAGGTATAATAATATTTAAATATTAATTTATTAAATGATTACATTATTTTACAAATCCAATTTGTTTTAAATTCAGCACAGAATAAATATAATTTTATTTATATAACTTAAACCATTTTAAATAAATATATCTGATATTATCATTATTAATTTTTTATCCAAGTTATATTTTTATCATTATTAATAAAGGCTACTCTCAAGCACCCTTAAGCACTACCCGTAATCGGCTATAATTAAGGTAATACTCAAACTTGACACAATTATAATGATTCATACTTGAACTATCTTTTTTTATCCTTCGATCAACTATAATTATGGCTCCAAAAAGTGATTATCTAATTAAAAATTTAGTACTGACATTTAAAATTTTAATTATAAAGGCTTCTAGCTATTTCCTTTAAACAATTTTTTACAATAACTTATGGTATTCAAATATATAATCATTACGGCAATAAACATAAATTTTTTAATAATTATTATTGCTATGAGTTTCTAGTACAGTCTCGCTCCACCTTACCAAAAAAAAAAAAATAGGTAACCATTTTGGTTACTCTATTAATAATAAATTTCAATCGGTGCAACTCTCAAGAACAAACTCCTTGATTAAATCTGGTTTATTTTTTAATCAGTTTTTATTAAATACATACTTGAATTTGCAACTAGCTTTAACAAATTGGTTAGCAGCAAAATCAGCTGCAAGTTGATATGATTGCTGCAGGTTTTCTCTTTATAGTTAAAATAAGTAGCTGCGCGCAAGACCAGGAACAGAAAATATATTGTATACGAAATTTAAAATCGAGCTTTGGAATTAATTTTTTCTCACAAGAAGAGAAATTTGCTATTTTGCATTTAACTATATAACAAATATAGCAAAGATGT